TGGCTTGGTTTCTCTTGGTGGACTTCATGAAAATATGAAGTTAATTGAGACAGGTTACTAAAATTTAAAGAGTTATTGACCCCGCCTCAAAGAATAATAGTGAATAGTGAGTATGCGCATGCTGTTTGCTTTGCTTTGATATCATCTTATCGATCTCCTGTTTGCATGTATAGGAAAAACGGAAGCTAAAATGGAAGTAGCAACCCATCTGCTTCAATATGTTTTTATAAGCGACTGTGGTTTCCGATTTCCAGTGGCACACTTTCCAACCACCACATGTCCACCTACTATTCTATACATCCAATTCTGGGAAGGTGTCTTACAGATGAAAAAAGCTGGATTTAGGTACCATATGTTTCAAAGAGCCTCGTATTAAAATAAGATATAATACTTACGGCTATATGTCCTATTATTTTTTAGTATCTATTATGCAATTTGTGATGGAGGCGAGTCGAAAGGACAGTTCATAAATATACATTTCTCCTCCTTCGGTCCCGTTGAAATGAATGTCTTATCGTACAATATGCTCACAGAGGTTCCCATGATATTTTTGATGGATTGTAAAGTATACAAATTATTTCATTCTAAACGTATAATAACTATTCAATACATAATAATACTAATGTTAGTCTTTGTTTTTACTAGCACAATATCAAAAAGTTGAGAAACAATCTAGAGAAAAGCTCGGCCTCTGGGTCAGCAAGATGCTTGAAAAATGGAGATGATCATATATTTTGGCGGTTTTGGAAGGATGCATATTTGTGGGACCAAAGTCAACATTCCTGCCCTATTCATGAAAAACTAAAGGAGGATCACTTTCAGTTAACACCGAGCTCACATATGAGAAATAACTTGGCGGAAGATGTTCTGGACAAAAAGATGCTCTTTTTAATGAAAGTACGTGTGTATGACAAAAACTAATAACGTAATTTCATATTTTGAATAATCAAAATAACCTATAATTTGCATAGCTATAGGACAATTAGTATGAACTGTTTATTCAATCATTACTTCTATATAAATATGTATAGGCTTACAAGAATCATTTGGAATGCTCTGAAAACCAAGAACATGCGTCGCGACTGAATGGGAGCATCATGTTCTTACAGCATACCAGTTTTATGGTAGAATTCTTCTCAAGCAAACAAGCAATCTACGAGTTTGCTCTCTATGTTGTCGTACTTCTCTAAGTGGAAGGCAAGTGTCTTGAAGAGTGACGAATTTGTCTCGTTCAAACTATGGTTTGATTTACAAGCCATGATCTTGGGAATGATCTCTTTAGTGAAAATCAAGCTGTCACAATTTCCAGGATCAATCATAAAACCAGCTGTTATCAATCAGGATGTAGTTGAGAATCATTTTTGCCAATTGAGGGCGGCAAACGGACAAAACGAGAATCCTACCTACCTGCTGACTCAGGCAACCCAAAATTCAATCGTCTTTGGACAAAGAACCGTCAGCAAGAAATGCAACACGGTTACAGAGCTGAAAATTCATCTTTCACGGAGTTACCGAAAGAGAAGTTGTTCTCTGCGAAAAACAAATGTAAAAATCAGAAGTCTAAAATACGCCTGACATTATAATTATAAATACAAGTGCAAAGAGCATCAAACACAGAAACATATTTGTACAGGGCCGTCGAGAGGTAGAGTGGGCAATAGACCTTATGCGTAATGACGTCACAATACTTGATGCCCGCAAGGAATGCTGGTCTTAGTAGTCATCGCACAGGAAAATTAAACAATTCAAAATGGCCACTATCAAAATTTTCCCGGGAGATGACGACTAAGACCAGCATTCCTCGCGGGCATCAAGTCTTGTGACATAATTATGCATAAGGTCTACAGAGACGTTTATTTAACCTGACGTCTTCTCATTTCATTTGTTTCCCTCAATACAACAAATGAGCCCGGGCCCATTTTGGACCCAGGGTAATTACCCAGCCTATATCCCCCTCTCCATATATACTGGCTGCTAAAAGTTCGAATACACAGATATTGAGCTATATTGTTTGAAATATTATTGTTCAATAAAAAGATCATAATATAACAATTATTATCCATGTAATAAATAATATTGTTCAACGAAGGTTTATTTACAAACGTGTAATGCGTAGAACAGGAATTCTGTTCTCCTCCTCCCCAACAAGAACTGCTCGATAATGTGACAAAACCTGAGGAGATGGCATTGACTCGTGCCCAATAACAGCTTCGACCAGATTGCTTGCTAGTTTGATTTTGTTCCATCTTGACATGAACCGTACATTGTATGCATCACAAAGTTGTACATGGCTCTCATTCCTAATGCCTTTATATTGCCCACCAAGGCACGAAGCTGCAAATGAGAGAGTTGCTTGTTGCGATTTTTGTCCTGTTCGATTTGTGGCATGTGTACTTTCATTTTTTTCACGTTCGCTTTCTCCTTTTTCTGCAGAACAGCTTTCCGGTGTGCGAGGGACTTCTTTAATTTGTAGTCCTTTCGGAAATCCCGAAGGAATTGACCAACGCCCATTCTCAGGTACCGCAACATGATATCATGGTATAATTCTAATACCAAAACCTGTAACAAAAAATATTTAGATATATATGATATCACTTATGGATTATTTTTTGATTTGCACTCCCTTCGTTTTTATCAACTGAACTATATGTAGAAGGTTTGTTAGAAGAACGAAGGATGGATTTGGATTTATTAAAATAATTACATCGCAGCTTTACAGCTGAATTGTGTAATTTACAATTTGCTAATTGGACAAGAAAATTTGATATATTACATGAATAATTTACTATTTTAATACTGATTACAGTAAAAAGTTTAAAAGGTTAATTTACTAATTGTATGTGTATTTTACTCTGACAATTGTATGACTATTGTAATAGTAATTACGATAAAAAGTTTAAAAGGCTAATTTACACTAATAATTGTATATGAACATCCAATAAATAAACACCAAGTCTCATGCGCTACACATAAGGAATTCATTGTTCTATTAGTCATGATTTGTGGGGGGTTGAAGTTCCTTTGGTTTCTCAGGTTATAATTCATGTTATATCTTGCTGGTAATAAGCTATTAAGTTTGTGATCAGGATTAAGAATAATAGACTTAAAAAGTTTGTCACAAATATTCATGATGATCCTTCATGGGCTTAATATCTAATCGTTCCAAACCTGTTAGATAGTCAACTTCCGGCATAATAATTGATATAGCTCTTTTCTCGAGCTTCTAATATTGCTCGCGCTTCAGATATTGGGGGAGACAATGGTAAAAGGCAGGAATCGCGTAATCCACAACTGACCTGACACACGACGTATAGAACAGCGCTAAATCTTGTGGTGGAACTCTCGCCTGATTTAATTGCACTAAAAAGTACAATCTTTTATTCACTTTCTTTATAACCTCGTCCACATAAGAATTCCAAGTAAGGTTGTCCTTGACAGTGAGTCCTAGCAGCTTTACTGTTTTAACAACTTCCAATTCTTTCCCGTTAATGGATCAAAGATTGCTGGTGGATTCGCGAACAATATTCTCAATTTCTTACCCTTGTCTTGATTTAATTGTACTCTATTATTACTAGACCACGTAACCACTTGATCAACTAGATTTTGGGCATCACTAGTACCCCCCTTACTGACAATTTCGGACGCTGTCGTATCGTCTACGTATTTCCAGGTATGTGCATCATCAATGATTAAATCATTTATCATAAGAGCAAACAGCCAGGGGCCTAGCTTAGTTCCCTGTGGTACTCCTGCAGGGACTGATCCCCACTCCGAAAAACAATCATCAGCTAATTTAACTCTTTGAAATCTGTCGGTGAGAAAATCAATTATCCAGTTTATAACACTTGGAGGTAATTCCAATCTGCTTAGTTTATCAATCAGTATACCGTGGTCGAATGCTTTACGATAGTCAAACAGAATTGTCCTAATGGTTGAGCCATTTCCATCTGTTCCTAAAAACCAGTAATGTAACATATTAATTAGCGCGATAGTAGTAGAATGAATTCGGGATTGTTCCGTACTGGTTTGGGTCGATAACTTTTAAAATGGCAGGCTTCACATAATCCTCAACCACAAACCCCTCCGCAACCTTGGATACGCTAGGGGTTAACAAGATTGGTCTTAAATCTTTCTTTAGGTCCTTAACCGGCTTCTTCTTGGGCAGTGGTGATACATCTGCCATCTTCCAGCATGCAGGCAATTGCTGTTCACGATATGAAGTATTAATAATATTCATAATTGGGAGAGCAAAAATTCTGGAATAATCTCTTACGAGCCAATTTGGAATGTTATCAGGACCAGACGCTTTTCCAGGGTTGAGTTTTGCTAGGGCCTTCTCTACGCACATTTCTGTCACAGTTAGGACCTCCGTTGATTCTTCCAAGTCGCGGCATGGTGGTGGAACGACCAATCTGTACTCCTCAATGGGCTTCAAGAAAGCTGTATTAATGATATTTGCCTGTTCACGTTGTGGAAAGTTAGAGAACTTGTCGATTTTTATTTGACTGGACAGATCGCTGTTCTTTTCTTTCATACCACTTAACCATCTCTTAGGGTTCACTCCACCATCTCTTAGGGTTCTCACCCTTAAGATTTTGTATGTTTGATTCATAATACTTCCCTCTGCATGCCTTTCTTTCACGGTTGACTAAATTCCTGTAGTAGTTAAAATCAAGGGAACCGTTTCCATTCTTATTAAATGCCTTTTGGCAATCAAGGACTTTAATTTCTTATTCATCCATGGTGCATCAACAGTGCTGACCTCCCTACGTTTTTCCGACATTAATAAGTTAAGCCCATTGTGCATTACTTCTGTTGGAGATTAACAATATATAAATATATAGACAGTATTAACAGTTTAGAAGCCGGAAATACGGCATGCGCCAACACTTCCGGTGAAACGAACACATGTTGTAAAAACATTAGTGATGAGAGCGAGCGTGCGAATGGAGATTGTTATATAGGGCGAGATATTAAACTAGTAAAAAAGGAAAGAGATTGTTAATTAAACCTGTGTTTATAGAACTGTGAATTGTCGTAAACACAACAGGAGGCAATTTACGACACCTGGCACCTCCCAACGGGATTGTAACTAGAGATTTAGCTCGAGCAAGAGCAAGGGAATTCCGAATATAATGGCATTAAAACAACAACTCGACGAAATTGATGGCAAGTTACGTTTACTCAATTTTACGACCAAGAAAACCGATGATATACTTAAAACAAACGATGAAGAAGTCGCTATTCGACAAAAGGGTCAAATAACAAAGATTATTTTGGCTATAAGTGACCTGAAACAATTAATCGAAGAAAAGAAATTTATCGAAGGCGACTCCGAAGAGAATGTCGCAGCATGGGGGGAATCAATCGAGGAAAATATAGCTTTGGCCGACGAGAAAGTGAAGCAGTTAAACAAGTATATTCAGCGCCTTAAAGCAGACGAACGCCAGAAAGAAAGCGCCCTGGAAAACGAAAATAAACGACTATTAGACGAAGAAAATTATACGAGACAACAAGCCTTCGAGAAACACGAAAGAGATAAACAACTTGCCTTCGAACAGGAACTTTTCAATCAAAAATTACAGCATCAAAAGGAAATTAAAGAAGTTCAAGCAGGGAAAAACTCATCTACAAAGCTACCAAAGCTTGTAATTACACCTTTTAATGGCTCATATCACGACTGGTTGCGATTCTGGGGCCAATTTTCTGCGGGTATTGAGTTGGCCGATATTCCTGATGTGATGAAATTCTCTTACCTGAAAGAGTTAGTAGAACCCAAGATACGGACATGTATAGATGGACTGCCCTTCACGACCGAAGGATACAAAAGTGCGAAGAAAATCCTTGAAGAAAAATATGGAAACACCAGTGAAATTGTGAATTCCTATGTGGAAGAAATCGTGAATTTGCCAACGATAACAAGTACCCGACCGGAGAAAATACACCCCTTCTACGAGAAATTGGTTTATTGTGTTCAGTCACTAGAAACTTTGGGAAAACTTCAAGAAGTAAATGGGTATGTACGACTTACCTTGAACAAAGTACCTGGAATACGTGGGGACTTAGTCAGAACTGAGCCCAAATGGAAAGACTGGACATTCACAGATTTAGTCAAAGCACTGTTCGCTTGGACTGAAAGAAACCCTATTGAAGCAAAGACAAGCAACGAAAGGAAAGATGCATCAAGGGCTTATCAGACCCGTCAAGTAGATCAGAAATCTCGAGCGTGTGTATATTGCGACTCTAAAAATCACAAGTCCATTGCTTGTGACTCGGTGACCACCTGTGAAGCTCGACGAAAGATTTTATCGGACAAGAAACTGTGTTTTAACTGCACGGGTGGTAGTCATAGGGCATCTGAGTGTAGGAGTAAGCAAACCTGCCAGAACTGTAACCGACGTCACCACACCTCAATATGTGAACTAGCCAAAACCATTTTGACCGCAGCATACCACCCCAGCGATCACAAAGTAATTTACCCAGTAGTTCTTGTCGAAGTCGACGGTACCAAGTGTAGGGCACTGCTTGACACTGGTTCCGGAAGCTCATACGCATCTGCGAAGTTAGTCGAACAGTTAAACAAGAAACCTAGTGAGTCGAAAGTTACAAGAGTTGAAATGCTAATGGGATCAGCAACTCGTCGAGTGGAAGTCTTTAATGTGAACATTAGCAATACCGAAGGCAACTTTAACTTGGAAACTAAGCTGACTAAAGTAGAAAAACCTTGTTTGATGGAACTTCCTAACCCTCACTATGACAGTCTAATCAAGAAATATCCCCATCTTGGTGGAGTGAAGATGATTGACGATGACCAAAAGGATCAACTTCCAATACATGTCGTGTTGGGAGCTTGTGACTATGCCCGTATCAAAACAAAATGTGCCCAAAAAGTCGGTTCACCTGGAGATCCAGTTGCAGAGAAAACATCATTCGGCTGGACTATGATGTCACCCGGAGTTGAAAGTGATTCAAACAAGATGTTGCTAACACAGACCTCCACTGCTGATTATGAAAACCTCTGTCGGTTGGATGTGCTTGGTTTAGAAGATCTTCCAGAGAATGACCAGGACATTGTTTACGCAGAATTCAAAGAGCAACTGAGACGTGACCCTGCAGGATGGTACGAGACTGGGTTACCCTGGAAGGGTAACCATCCCCCTTTACCAAGTAACAAGCAGGGTAGTGTTCGACGGTTACAATCACTAATGCGAAAACTGAATCGCTCTTCCATTACCGAGAAATATGATCAGATTATTCAAGAACAGATTCAAGAGGACATTGTACAGAGTGCTCCAGACATGAGTTTTATATCCCGCACAAACCGGTGATTCGAGAGAACGCTGACAGCACTAAATTAAGAATCGTATATGATGCATCAACCAAAGAAAGCGCAGAAGCACCATCACTTAA